GAGAGGATCTGCTCCTCAAAATACCCTTCACATGGAGAAGATACTGCTAGTGGATTGGGAAGGAATACAGTGAATGATGCTTCCAGTTGCATCGTTCAAGATGCAACATCAAGAAATTGCATTTCTTCTACAGAGGCAGTGGAAAGCAATCCTAAGACCAAAAGTCATTTCAGAACAGTCTCACCCTGTATGGAGTCAGTGCAAGAAAGCATTTCAACACACAGTAAATTTTAAGCACCTTAAGAAAGTGATTAAGGATATTATTTAATGCTGTCCTGAGTCAGGACTAATATCTGTTCATTTAAATCAAATCAAAAATTCTGTAAGCTCAGAGAGAATGCAAAAGTGAAGGCAAACCCCAGTTTGATAAAAGATCTACAGCCCAGGCAGCCTTCCAGAGGGCAGGCGTTCTCAAATGTCACTGCAGATAAGAGGTGGAAAATATTTCCCGGACGTACCAGCTCTGTATATGAGTTAGCTAACTCTGGGAAAAGCTGGGCTTATTTTTGCAGCTGCTGGGGGGAGGATAACTATATGGAGCAGGTAAACTCAAATGCAAACATAATTTTGTATCTTTTAGAAAATTTATAGACTTGAACCAGAGTAGCAGTTACTGAAATTGCTACAAATGCACCTCAGTGTGCCTAGTTCAGTGAAGTTACATACAGCTAATCTTGTAAGTAGCAGGGTAGCTACCTACCATCATTCCATGAAAATGTTAGAGGGGAGCATAAAGCCTGGCTTAGCTTGTTTCTTTAGCCACAGGATAATGTATTTCCATTAACTCTGCTTTGCTCTACCTCTCTGGAATATTTTATTCCTTTCAATAGGTTTTTACTCCTTAAGTTTACTCATGTACTTCAAACTACATGCTTCTCTGGCTCTCTTGGTCTATATTTGCTTTACTAATAACTGCTGGATACTGGTACTAATGCCATCACTGAAATAAGTTTGATCTCATGAGTACTGGATGATGTTGAAACAGTAATACTGAATGAATACATGTTTGCTACGAATGTCTTTTCTGGGGAAAAAAACCCAACGCTTTCTAATAACAACTTTCCTATGTCCCAGTTGAGTTCTTTTGCTAAGGTCTACCTATCTAGTTCTCTCTATCTGTTTTTTAAAATATATCAAACTAACAACACCATAGCCATTTAATAAGCTACAACCTTTTCATATTTGTTTTTCTTACTAATAGTCTTGAAGTACAGGTTTTATTTGCAATGTGCAGGTTGTTTAACAAAGCCAAACTCTGTTCAGATAAAAATACCATCATGTAAAATTTTCAGCTCCCCTGCAACAGCCTATGGAGGCAGAAAAGGCGGTTTCATAATCTTTGCTGGCCTGAAGCACTGATTCCTGACTACTAGGCAATTTGTTAACTCTTCTAATTCAAATACACAAAAGGGTGAGTAAGCAATAAACCATTTCAAATTGATCCATCTGGCAGTAGGTAAAATAGCTATAATGAACAGCATGTTTACAGAGCACATTTCCTACTCAGTCTAGTCATTTGCAGGATTCAGGCCACAGATGTCACAGGTTGTCTGAGCAGCATTAGATGCGAGGAGATGACTGGATGTGAAAGGGGACTTTGAGGAGAATTTATGGTGATGGATGTTTGCTGTTTATGCACACTTCATTAGTTAAGTCAGTCCGGCTGGCGCTGCTGGGACTTCTCTGCTTTCCCTGCTGCTGCTGGCCGCTTGCTCTGAGTTCATAGGTGAGCAAGCACAAACATATGCTTCCGAATGTATGATTTGTTTAATGATGATGTTGTGGTTTAACCCCAGTTCAGCTGCTCACTCTCTCACCCCTGGTGAGATCAGAGATCAGGGAGACAATCAGAAGTAACAGTTTGAAAGACAGTTTAATAGGGAAAGCAAAAACCACACACATGAGCAAAGCAAAAAAGGAATTAATTCACTGCTTCCCGTGGGCTGGCAGGTGTTAAGCCTTACAGGAGAGCAGGGCTCCACCACACATAACAGTGACTTGGAAGATGAGTGCCATCACTCTGAATGTCCCCTGCTTCCTCCTTCTTCCCCCAGATTGCTATACTGAGCATGATGCCATATGGTGTGGAAAATCCCTGTGTTCAGCTGGGGTCAGCTGTCCCAGCTGTGTTCCCTCCCAACTCCTTGTGCACCCCCAGCCCTCTCTCTGGTGGGCTGGGGTGAGAAGCAGAAAAGGCACCGATGTTGTGTGATCATTGATCAGCAACAGCTACACTGTTCCCAGCCCTATACCAGCTACTATGGAGAAAATTAACTCTTTTCCAGTCAAAAGCAGCAGAGATAACTGAGGAAGGTGTGAGGCATCTCTAATGGAGCTCTTAGAATTTCCCATTCTCTATAGAGGCTGAAAGGGATACATTGTAGTATTTCCCTCCTCTGCAGGCACAGCAAACACACAATCTATTAAGTTTCTGTTTTGAATATGGCAATTTTATTTTGACTTGAGATACTCTGGGATCTAATAAGATCCTGAATTCACTCCCAACATGAGAGGCTTTGTGTTTGTCTCAGCCAATGCTATCAGCATAATGTCTTGTTATTATGAGTCTGGATTGCCTTCAATGGCAACACAAGTCTTACTAAATAATAACAGGATTTGGCTTTGTATATGAAAAATTATTAGGTGAATCAGTAGTAGCAGCAAAAGCAACTGAATAGCTGTCTGAAAAGTGAAAACATGAAGTGCTTTTCAATGATCCTGAACACAACAGCTAAAATCACACCAATCTAACAGTTATCACGATTGTGGTACACTGTTTAGCAAGGATGAAACAACTCTTTTTAAATTAAATTAAATTAAATTTTAAATATAGGTGGAGGTGTTCATACAGGCAGGAACAACATCATGTACCTCCCAGATTTTTAATGACAAAGGGCAGATCATTTTCCTACGTTTAGTATGAAGAAAGTAACTGGGTTGATGATCACATTTCATATTGTATTTGTGCATATAGTGTTATTTTATTTCTATTACGAGCCATTTGAGCAGACAGCTACTTCCTTTCTTTTGTGAGCTGTCTCATAGCCTTAAATTGACAGCTCCTGGAGGAGAGAGACAGCATATGACATGTGTAGAGAATCCAAGATTGATAAGGTTATTCTTTTATTCATTTTGATAACTAAGAAGGAGTAAAGATTGACAGTTCAATCACTCATTAATAAAGACTGACTTTATTCCCATTCATGAAATGGCAAGCCAGATTTTAAAACATTTTAAAAACAACATTTTAGTTATTGTTGTTATTATTATTATTGTTTGATTTAGTAATTTCCCCTCATATGAAAGTTTAGAAAAATCACTGTCAACAAACAGAGTTTGAATTAGTGTGAAAACTGCCCCCAAATTACTGATCTGTTTCATTTGTTGGGGTTTTTTTTGAAATATCTTTTCTGCTTATAGACTGACAAGAGGTGGGACTTAAAAAAATTCTCACTGTAGTTAAACATGTTGCTAAACCTTAGCAGAACCACAGGACTAATACACCATTCCAGACAAGAGAGGGTCAAACTAGGTTATGTTACTTTTAATTTGCCGTGGATGGAGGTCTCTGGCTCACCTTGACTGAATTAAAACATTAATGAAGGGATTAAAGCTGGAGTCCACTGTGAAGGACTTGACAGAGCAGACCCAAGCCTTGTCCCGTTGGTCACTGAGGGAAGTCAATGCTGACTGTGGCTTTTGCAGGATACCAGGCTGTAGCTTGTATGAGAACAGCCTGGACACTCCTGGGACATGCAGGACTAGCTCATGGAAGAGAAAAGCACCACACAAACTCAGCCTCAAGATGAGTGTAGGGTAAAGGAGGCAATCACACAATCATGTGAAGTCTTTTCCTCTGTTAGCACTATTCCTCTTTCAATTCCTTTGAAGACTTCTTCAAGCTTTCCCTCCCAAAGCAAGGTTTAGGGAGATTTGAACAGTTTCACACCCATTTCTTTCCTTGATTGTACTGTCAAATGAAATTGATTTGTGAATTTGTCTTATTGTCTGTTCATATTCTACAATAAGATGTCAATCTCCCAGACCTAAGGAACTCATAGGGGTTTTTTGGCAGTGAGTCACATTTTCTATGGTTTGGCTGTGAAAACCATTGTTCTCATTCTTGTGTTGACTGATTAGGTGAAGGGCAGATGAAGACAATCTCGTTATTTAAAAAAACCAAAACAAACACCTCTTCCTTCAGCTGATTGGGTGGAGAGATGGTTTTGTTCCCATAGCAACATTTTGCATCCAAACCTGCAGAAATGAAGCTGGCTACAGGCATTTCAAACATGCTGCCTTTAAAGAGCAGGTTGTACTCTACAGTGTGTTTTCATTTTTGCATCTGACAGAATTATTCAGTAACCACGAGAGGAAAAAAAAAAAGAAAAATCTTTGCATGCATGTATATGAAACTGGAGCCTGGTGATGTTAGGTGTGCTCCAAGGCACCCCTTGAGCTGCTCTCATAGAATGCTCTGTACTATCAGTTGTCTGGACACCAGAACTTTAAGTAAAAACCAGTCAGCCCAAAGTTCAGATGTCACTTTTGTAAGAGTTCTTTTACTTTCAGTGGAGTCAACACCACTGAGCAAGATGTTGAAGGGAACTGGCTAATGGGCTGAGGAAGAGTAAAACCCATGTGGGAGGTTGTACCTCAGGGAGTGGGGGATGCACTAGGGGATGGGCTATTGGACTCTTGCAGAAGTAACAGATAGGATGAAGGAAAAAAAGTCCCAATACAGGGAGCTGCTGAAGGAAGACACCACTGGACAAAGACTGGAGGATAAAAGTAATTTATAGTCTGGGTTTTTTCACCCTGTAAAGGTTGATCATACATTAGCAGGGGCAATTTTTGTGGGAATTGGACTTCAATGATAGAGGGACAAGACAAGGAATGTATTTTGCTTCAGAACTTTTGGTTCATTTGTGAAAAACTGGAAAATAAGGACAGAAGAAATTCATGGTAGTCTTTGGGAAGATGATGCAAACTGGCCCTACCTCTTTGGCTGCCATCCAGCTGTGTTTCTCCAGACATACTCTCTCAATCAGCACAAGTCATGTTCAAGCAAAACTGGAAGATTCCATGTATTTATCCAGGATTTCACTTTGGCAGATAAACAGCTCAGTGGGACAGTACATGTCAGAAGCACAGTGGCTTGGTCCAGGAAAAAATTATTAATTCCTCCAGAAGGACAAAACTGCCAACAAAATGCACACATAGAGGCATTGTTAAGAGCATTTTAAGAATGGTATATTATGTTAGTATACAGTGATACTTTAATGGGAAATCACATCACCTTTTCTTCATGTTTGGCTTTGGACTGATAAGCAAAGTATGACATTAAGAATAATAAAAAGTTGACATTATTGGCAAATTTCTTAGTGGGAACAAGTTGAGAGCACTATAGCATAACACCATGCAGCTGGTAATGTAAAACTAAAATTACCCAAATATGAGAAGGCAGCAAACTGTTACCTAAAGGTTTTTGGAGGGAAGGAAATACAGACAGGTTGATTTGACAAGTTTTGTGGAAGGAAGACACCAAAAACTATGAGTGAAAGTCAGAGGAAATAAGAAGCAGGTGTGTTCATGATGAATGCCGGTTGCTCTCCAGTTATCCAGACTTCATCTGAGCTGTCCAGCATGGGGTGGAATCCCCACCTATCATGTTCTGATTAAGTGGCATTATTGCATGTGGCTAAAACTCTTAGAAAATGAGCAAACTAACATGGTTTTGTCAAAACAAGCTTGAAAAGAATTGTACAATTCTCATCGGTGATAATTTTTATTAGAGAGTTTTTGAAGGAGGAAGTATGTTTTTGTACAGGGTCTGATCCTGGAGACAATGGATCAGTTTCACCAAATCACACATTGCTTTGTGTCCAGACTTCCTCTGAACATGTCTGGTATTGAACAAGCATGATAGGTGGGCTAAAACTGTAACGGGAAACACACAGACTGATGTAAGAGTGAGTGTACTGAGGAGGAACATAACGTTACAGCAGCAGAGGGGCAGGAGAATGTGGGTGCCGAGCACTATGTACAGTCATAACAGTTGATAAAAATCAGCAAAAACCACCACCAGAAAAAACCCAAAACACACCGATGGGATGAAAGAGTGGAAACACAAGCAGTCCTGAGGCTCTGAAATGATGTTATCTCAGACAAGACAAGACAAGTCAGTAAATTTAATTATTTGCTGCTGTTTGGCCAGATGGCCTGGAGTTGTATCAAAAATCCCTACCCACCACATTTCTCGATAGGTCTGGATTACAAACTTTTAATCTACCTTAAAATGCTTATGTTTTCAAAATAAAGTGATAAACTTATACAGCTCCAGGAAAAAAAAAATGCAGTGCTCAGCAGTGCAAGAAGGAGACAGAACTGTTATGAGAATGTAATTTAAAAGCATGCACTGAGGTATCTAACACAGGTTTGGACATCAGGATCTATCTCCAGGGCAAATCGCTCAGCCCTGAATTGAGAAGACAGAAGCTCTGGCCTTGCGATGGGAATCATTCTTCCACAACCTGTTGTTAGGTATCCCAAGGAGGTTGTTCTCTGAAAAATCTCTTTCAGTTGCTGACCTTGGATGGTTTCTGGCTTAACAGGAGATGAAACCTGTTCCAAAGTATTGAACCCTACTAATGGATAAAAAGCCAAGGTACCAAGCACTGATGTTTGGAGTACTCTAAGAACCCCTTACATTTAATTTTAGCATTGCAACACCTAAATCCCAGGATTTCAAATATTTTTTAATCATACTCTGAGATTTTCTTCAGAAAATAAGTGATTTCAGAGCACATATGTTTTCATGAGTGTAACTACAGAGAAAACAAGCTAAATACTCAAAGAAGATTCCCCTTTGTCTATGGTCTAGGATTATTGCTGATGTTCTTATTCTTTATTATCACATTTCACTTCTTGGTAAACTATGTAGTTGTATGAAGTTGACACAATCAAATGTCACGCAAGCAGGATATGTGCAATTCAGTGAGAAATCTGTTTGAGAGTCTGTCACAAATGGGGTGACAGTAAGTACATGAAGAGGGATGTGCTTCAGCATTTTACACTGGGTGGCGGCCAAGAGGAGTTAATGACCATAGCTGGCAGTATTCTTGGAAACACCACAGGTTTCTGTGCATGGTCACCTTCAGTGATGCTGAAAACAACCTATTGTACCTGTAATATGGACATTTTGACAAAAGTCAGGGTTCTTCATTTTCAGGAGACAAAAGAAAGGGAAGAGGCAGCCTGAGCAAGTGAATAGGAGCACTATTGAAGTCTGTACAATCAGACCTCAGAGAGCAGAAGTACCTAACAACCAGCATCAGGAGACACAAATCAACATGCTAAAAGGAGTACAGCAAATCTTAGCCCAACATCTAACACTGGCCGTAACCAACATCGCAAACCGCTAGTCATGCACATTCCACTCATGTGACAACCCCACCATTTTAGCTCCTTAAGGCAACATTGTGCTGAGTGCCACCACACACCACAAGATCAAAAGCAGCAACATTTGACCCAGCATCACAAACATGATGGCCAAAATTTGATGGCCAAAGTACTTTTGGCTTGCTGCTCTCCATGAGACAACATTACAAACTTAATACTAATCTGCCCATGAATATTCTCTTCCTTCAGCTAAACTCCTCCTGTCAAACTAAGTTCAAGTGTAAATGTGATGATAGTTTGCCCTAACTTGTCTGCTTTTTTATTTGTTAACTACCTTGCTAGAAATTAATTTCTGTGAGTCACTATATATTCACAGGACTGAAGTTTCATGAAAAAATTACTTGAAGAATGTACCAGGGCACAGAGAACTTGAAGTAATGGCTTGCCCTAGGATAAGTCACATCCTTTAGAATCTGAAATGTATGATCCTGTCCTCCTGAGACACAGCACAACCTGCTGCTCCGCATTTGGCTGCTCGGCACACAGGCTCACCCGGGGGATGTGTGTGTAGATGTAACACGCCACGATTCACCTCCACACACCCAACAGCGGGGGAGCCCTGGATTCTTGCATTTAACATTATTACAGAAAGTGTGTAATAATTAACGATAAATACCTTTAGAGATCGGATTCTATTTTAACTTGAGAACAGCTTGTCACTTTGATAGTGTACTACAGCTTTCAGGAAAAGTAAATTGCTGCTGGAACGTGTGTAATTTGCTTCGGGTGAGACTTGCTTCGTTTCGAGAAGCTGGAGCACCGTGGGATTCGAGCGCCAAAAGCAGCGTGGTCCAAATAGCTTCCCACGGCCGAGCCCGGCTGGGGCGATGCAACCATCCAGCACCTGAGACCATCCAGCCATCCAGCCCGGCGCCTCCTCGCTCCCGAGGGAGCAGCCCCAGCCCTGCCCTGCCCTGAGCCCGACGGGCCAAGGCGGCGCGGCTGAGGGGCGAGCGCGCAGCTTTCCGCGGGGGGCTCTCCACGGCGCTCCGGGCGCCCACGCCGCGTGACGAGGAGCCGCCCGGAGCCC